TTTTTTCTTTTTTAGAGAAATTTTTGTGCACCATTCTATGCAGATTTGTTCGCTGATTCGAAATATACCATTACTTTCAAATAAAAACGAAATTTTAAGTGAAAAAGGACCAAAAAAGAAGCTTTGGATTTTAAGATCATCGTAAGCATTTTTTTAGTATTTTGCCTACAACTTTTTTCGGCCCAAATATTTTGTCCGAATTTTTTCATATTTCTATTACTCTCATTACCAGCAAGTTTTTCTATAAATATCTCATTGGAACACGCCCTTTTCTGATTTCTGTGAGTCTATATGTAAAAACAAGATTGTTTGACGATGTGACATTTTCGCTAGGATTTCTGCTCTTAGGTTACACTGAGTTGTGATATTTCAATTTGAAATATAGGGTTTTTTTGTAGAAAATTTAAAGCTCTATCGAATGCTATATAAATGATATTCCCAGGCATCGTTGATGGATTTCTACGTAAGCATTTAGTACGAGCAGATACAAATAGTGCTTAATAACTTTGTTTCAAACTGTTCTGACCCTCTACAATTTTTTTTTGAAAAATAAAATATATAGAAAGATAGGCCTTTCATTTCTCTACAAAACCCATATTAACTGAACTTCAATATCGAAAATTTTCTTAACCGACGGTATCCTTTAGAACTCACAATGAGAGGAGTTCCTATAAATCATAACTCCTCTTCAACTCAAGCGAACGAGACCGGACTAGTCTCACTGACCTACAATTCTAAAGTAGTATATGCACTAATAATTTCACATGTACATCAGTATTGTTTTCCTCATGTGCTAGATCACTTCATCATCTTGAAAATTACAAACAATCACTCTTTTTAATTATGCTAGTCATTCTTAGGTATGTGAATATGTTAAAATATGACCACAGTATTTGTCACTTCTAAATCTATATAAATAAATAACAGTTCAGAACAATAAGGATTATCCTTGATTGTCAAGGTAGACACATATCAGTCGGATATCACCCAGTAAAAAATCATAATTGGATCCGATTCAACTTTTTTTCATGCTTCATACTCAAATTGTCTCAGCAGATTGTACACGGATTGGGTGTTGAATATCCGAATCGACTGCAATACTTCAATGCAAAACCAGAATCTGAACACAGTTTTTGTTTTCTTTATTGTGATGTTGCAATTGTATATATTTCCTTACGTAACAGAAAATTAAGGTTAAACTAAATGATGATTATTTAATAATTCTAATCAACTGCATGAGTATATGATTATTTTATGATGATAGAATCTTTACTCATCGTTGTTTATTCCTAGAGAACATTTCTCTAAGATAAAATTAAAAAATGATTGAAATAAACATCATTTTGTACTTGTATAATAAAATATTTTGTATCTTTTTCTTATTCAGAATTATATATCACAATGCTTTGAACCATTGGAATAAATCACCGATAAATAAGAGTGATCAAATAATGTTCTCACAATAGTATTATTTAGTATAATTGAATTGAAAAATGTAATATATTCTTTATTGATATATACCATCCAAACAAATGACTGAATATAAGATTCCTCTAAACTGTGTTTTTTTTAACTAACATTCTCTCAATCGTAAATGAATTATTGAAATCAAAATATGTGAATGATTTGACATCTCTAAAACATCAAGTAGCGGCATCTATAATCGATTAATCTGTTTGTTAATTCTAGCAACCTATATCCTTTTTTTGACTGTTTAGTATAATTAACTTGGTATTTTTTCTTGTCTCGTTATTTTTTTGATTGACAAGCAGCCGGCTAGTTAACGTTTACTTCCAATAATACTGTTATACTTATTACGAAGTTTCTACAAGCGCAATATTCATGTTTAATAATAAGTACCATATAAAGTAATGTGACTGAATCGTAATTTTTTTTTCTTACTTTGACGATTATCAATTTCAATAATCGAACCATTATCTAGATGAAATAAAAAATCATACTGTTTAAAATAAATAACTTCGTCAATACAAATTATGGTATTTTTTCATTATGACTCAATCTACATATTACATGTGTTGAATGATTTCTATTCTCTCTAAAAAAAAAAAAAGAGAATTATATTATATTTTTCTTTCATTTTAGATAATAGATACATAATCTCAATAACAAAATAAAAAAACAAATGGTATGTTTTAATAATTGAATAATTTTATTAACTAAGGAAGAAAAAAAATATAGAAATGAACAGAGCATAAAAATGTCTGAAAAAATAATTATTTTGTTTTTGATTGATTTAATAAATTGTATTCTTGAAGACTGTAGTACCTAGAGTCCGTTGGGTTGATCCCGGATGTGACCGACAAGAGAGTCTCTTCAGTTGTCTCCTTTCAATTTCAATGTTATTTTTTGCCTACAGATACTACATAGTGTTCTAATAACAACCATAAAAGAATTTGGGTTCCTATTGAAATTTGACTTAGCTATCGAACTTTTTTCTAAAGATCCTAAATTTTCGGAAAATTCCTATTATTGAAGTTCAGTGTGAAATTTTGCGCATATAGGCCACTGAAATAGACTAGATATGCAGAGTGTATTGGTAACAGAATACAAATAATCGATAAGAAGTATCTCGCATCTTCGAAGACTCAGACTAAATAGTTTCGCTGACATAAGGAATATATTCCGGATTCAAAAAAGTCGAATCTAACAGATTCTAGTCGAGACGAAAATATTGAAATAGAACTTTTGAAGCCAAGTTGTGATCGTTTTACTGAATTTTTCAGCCAAAAAGAATATTATTGTGTTGAAATATCAAATTTCCAAAAAAGACTCGTTTATCACAGGCATAATACAAAAATCGAGTTATTTGGAAATTCAATACCTCGATAAAAAAAACCATCCTTTTCTGCTGAAACTTTCAAGATATATCTATGAATTATTAGTGTTATCTATAGGCAGAATTTTACATTGAAATTCTGTTTTTTTGATTTTTCGGTAAATATTTAAACATAAGTAGAGAATTCAGTAAAACAATCATAATTCTGCTCCAAAGATCCATGAAGACGAATCTTTTGAAAGTTTCCCTAGTCTTACCAACACGTTCTCGTAAGTCCAATATGAGCACTGATCAATCCTAAGATTAAAGAACGATGACCTATAGCCGCATTCTTCTAATCACGCTTTTCTCTAAATGGAACACAAAACTCAAAGATTTCATAGTGAATATTTATTTTTTATTATAGGCTCAAAACAATTCATCCATATTATATGATGTTAGTACATGTCTTCGCGATGCTATGGATAGTATGTTCAATAATGGTCATAATATAATCATATCAAATGATAATGACAAGAATTTTGACATATCTAACAATGATGAACTTTCACCAACAAATACTTTAAAGTTAATGATGAATAAAAGAAAACTAGATTCACCTGTTATTATTAATGATGTAGAAAAATGTCAAGACAATGGACATGATTATGTTAAACGCATGTGTACAATGAATGATAATCAACAATATAAACAAAAAGAATGAATTTTAAATATAGAATATGTGTCAGATTAATGCTGTCTTTGTGTACTTTGCATCTATTTATTAATTTTTGTGTAAATGTTAATAATAATCCTAGCTTTGTTTTGCAAAATTTGTCTACATGTTGGTAAAATAAAAAATAAAAATGATCTGAATATTCTTTAGTTCGTATTGTCATGCAAGGTGTCACCAAAGTCTGTTGGTAAACAAGATTTGGATAAGTTTTAAATAATTCAAGCAATTTATATATATGATTTTTGTATTTTTGAAAAATTTTATTTCATAGAATTTCGTTTAGAAGAAATGCTCAAAATGCTTTGTCTTCTAACTGTTATATCGAACTAGTGATTGGAAAGTTTTTGGACAAGATGTTTTTGAATATGGCTTTAGAAATTTTGTCTGAATTTTTGAAATACTAAAAAAATTAGTTTGAATAGAAAATTTTTGTACTTTTTATTATAGCGATTCGAAACTAAAAAGTTGAGATTTTTATTTATATGTCAACTTGTCTATCAGAAGCTGCTCTATTGAATGCACTAGTTTTTGTCTTTCGAGAAGAAATCTTAATTTTTGTTTTTTCGAAATACTCATTTTTGAAAAATCGACAACTGTTTTATGTTGAAAGAATCTCTTTAAAAAATGCTTGGATAAAACTGGCAGTTTAGTTCAATACAACATTTTATAAAAAAGTATTCGCTCTACAAAATGATTTACTCCGAGAACTTTTAGCATGTTCGAAAAGGAACTTATAGGGTAAACATAAATCTGTTGGGTCACCATTAAAAGTAATGTTTCAGGTCTTTCAAAAATCTCCTCGCTACTCTTAAACTAAATTAGACACAACATTTCTAAGCCCATAATCAGATTCTGATCGCGACCTATACTGAAATGCTTTCAAGCAGACCAAAATGAGCAAACATGTTCACTGGAAATGTCCGTCCGCAAGTTCCATCCAAACTAATTTTTTGAGCTTTTAAAAGATTAAGACAAAATTTCTAAGTCTATATTCGAAAAAAGCAAAAAAACGTCTGATCCTAAATAATAGCTTTTGATTCGTCGGAAAAACTTTTTGATAATCTGTTAAATCAGAGTAGGAAGCTGGGAGAATCTTTTGATTGACGCTTTGTTCCACTTCAAGAAAAAATTAATTTTTGGATTGAAACTTTGATTTTCAATACTTCATTGTAGCTGCTGATATTGATGAATGTATGTGAAGTAGTAAACAAGATGCTATCAAAAGAGGAAGAAACTAATTTTTTGCTGCTAGAAATAATTTTGAAATCATTGAAATTAATAAAAATTAAAGAAATTACTTAAAAACATTTGTAATGCGTTATAAACTTCTAATAATACTTTAAGTTTTTCAATTCTAGCGTGAGTAAAAAAATAATTAAAGACGAGTTCACCAATCAAAATGTATAATTTTATAATAATTAATCGTGATTTCACCATGGGAAAACGTAGTTAGAAAAAAGAGCATGATCTCAATATATAGAAAATTTAGATTTTGCTTCATTTATAGTCATAAAAGTTCTAATTAACAATACAAAAGATACTTCTGATTTTTCAACGTACTTGAAGCTGCTAGAAATCAAATTGTTACCCTCTGATAATTGCTTACTACTTTAAATATTTTATAGTAATTATCGTTTAAATATGTTCTTAATACGGATACTTTCATTATAAAGTTTCCATGCAGAATAAGGCATGAAGATTTAGCTCTAATTCCGTTGTAACGAAAACAGTGTCCAATCCATTTCGAGTTTTGTTCGTAATACTATTGAATAAAACTAACAAGAACATGAAACTTAAGATTTAGATGGATTTATCTTTTCGTAACTTTTTTATTAGATCAACAAATAAAATACAATTACATTTTTCGTCTTCCCTCAGAGAAAGTTTTCAACTAATTAAGCGCTTTCTCACTGAAAACCAGTGGATTATTGATTATCAACCATGCTAATCTCAAATATGACTATAAGAAATTCTGTTAGGTCCTTATATATTGATTGTCCAGAAAGCTGACTTTTCGCCAAAAACCTTTCTGATCAGTTCAGATTACTGAGTATATCTAAGTGCTTAGTACAAATCGTTTCTGTTGCAGAAAATACAGCTATTTTAATACATACAAACTGTATGTATTAAAATATACAGTATATCAGACTAGTACAGTTTTCGAAGTGATAAAATAAAGAATAAAATTAGATTTATCGCTTCCTATGACATGTATTGTTTATATCATCATTAGGGAAGAAGAAGTTATGTATTGAAGATGTATTCTGACAATACAAATAAGTTTTTTCAGTTTGAGGATGTTACATGAATCTAACAACTTGGTAGAATAGTAATTCTAAATGCAAATATTTTGAGAAAATTTCAGAGTGCGCATATCAACTATAAAAATTGTTTTATTTATTCAGCATTTCTTTTAAACAATATGCTATAAATTTATAATATTCAGAGTTTATAAATTTCACACTTTGGCTCCTCATATATAGTTTTTGTTTGATTCTTCTAAGAAGAGAGAAAGTCTCCCAAATCTACAGAAAAGTAATGTTCTTGCTAATAGTTATGTAGTATTTTATCTACTGTTCATCCTGGATACATACAAAAATGTTTTACAACAATCGCCTTCCGTAGCATCTGGTTTTAACATAATAAATTCTACACCTGTTTCTAAGATTTTTAATTTGTAACTACGTTGTAATGCACTAAAACTTCGTTGACATTCATTAGATCTAATTGATGAAGTTATTTGAAATTTGAATATAATTTAAACCATTCACATATGAGATATTGAGCTAGATTTCGTACATAGTATTTTGTGGTATCAATTAAATGATTTTTAGATATATTGATGATCACATTATACTTTTAACATTTGTTTTATCTTTTGTCTTTTTAATATATTACTCTTCACAATATGACCTGATTCAGTTTGTCTTTGAAAGAAAATAACTACTTATCTGTAAAAAAAAAAAGAAAAAGTTGTTAGTATAATCCTTGAGGGATTAAAATCTGAAAAACGATGTAGCTACTGTTGTTATCAAAATCTTTAAAGAAACTGAAAAACTAGTTGTCCAAAAATTATCGTGAAAATTAATATCTGACAAAATTATTAAACTGTCCGACAAACAAATCAAATATATTTTCTAAATCATCAAGGCGAGCTCTATACAATAATAAAAAATATTTTTTAATTTGCACGTTTAATGTCTCAGAAAAAAATACGATATTTTTTCTATAGTGTCATCCGAACAGGTAGATCCATAAAACGATCAATCCACTCACATTCAACGTCCAAACTTTTTCCAATTTTTTCAGAAAGCTCTTCTATCTCTTGTTTCTTACTCCTATTATCGCAAATATCCGTGGATTGCACACAAAATATATTCAAAATCAGTTCATTAAACTTCGTCAAATGATATATAAGACAAAATAATTTTGAAGGAAAAAAATTTTCTCAAAAAAAAAAAATGACAGCAAGAATCATTTCTGAGCAAGAAAGTCGCATGTCCATCTGTCATGTGAAACATGCATACTATTGGGAGAGTGCAAATTTCTATTCCTTTTAGATTATGTTTCACAAAATTCGAAATAAAACTTTGCTTTTACATAATTAGTTCATCCCACTGAAAGATTAAAAATATTGCCTATCCACAATAAAAAATTTCTAGGAAGAAAGGAAGCACGTAAGAAAACATTTTGAAGAAGGAAATTATCCTGCTTCCCCTCCTAATTTTATGACTTCCTCTCATAGAATCACACTGACAAGTTGTATTATTTTGTGTTACATGTAGCATTTATGTTGCTCTATAAAAAATAATATGTACCGTTTTATATATTTTTTTTACTACTAAAACACATATACATTGACAAGACAAAAAGAAAAAGATGAAACTATATTTCACAGCAAACTATTTCTTTTTTTTTCTAAATATCTGTTGATGTTGATTTTCCAGTCATAGTCATATTGTTATCATTTGGATTTGTTGGTGTAAATAAAAATGGATCCATTGATGTTTTAGTTAAATCCAAATGTTTTTGAAAAAATGAAAATATATCAACCGGTATTGGAAAAATTATTGTTGAATTTTGTTCTGTTGCTATACTATTCAACGTTTGTAAATAACGTAATTGCATAGCACATGGTGATTGAGCAAGAATATCAGCTGCATCTTTTAATGCACGTGATGATTTAAATTCTCCTTCACTTACAATAATCTAGCAAAAAAAAAAAAAAAAAAACATTTTTCTTTAATTGAAAATTATTCTTTTTGTCTTTTACTTTTGCTCTTGCTTCTCGAGCTGCTTCAGCTTCAGCAGCCATAATACGTTGAAGACTTTTTGGTAATCGAACATCTTTAATTTCAACTCTTTCAACTTTAATACCCCAACCTTCAGTTGCATCATCTAAACATTCACGCATTAAATTCGATACAGCACCACGATCACATAATATTTCTGATAATAAACGTGTACCAAGAACATTTCGTAATGATGTTTGTGCTAAAAGATGTGTTGATTCTTGTGCATTTTCAACATTAGCAATAGAAACTGTTGGATTAAATATACGATAATAAACAACAGCATCAACAGCAACTGTAACGCTATCACGTGTTAAAACTTCTTGTGGTGGAACATCAAATGAAACTGTACGGATATCAATAAGATGCATTGTATCAATACATGGTAACATAAAACACATACCAGGACCACGAGCTGATGTACGACTTAAACGACCCAAACGAAATATAACAGCACGTTCATATTCTTGAATAACTTTAAGTGTAAGAAATAGAGAAAATGGAAAAAATAAAACAAATGTACACCATGCACATATAATTAATATTAATTCACATAATGTACGATTTGCATCAAAAATTTCTTCACCAATTATATATGGTACATCATATTTATCCCATAAACGACGAAGACTTTGTCGATTTGCTTTTAATAAAACGTCATCACGACGACGATTATCATCAAATATAGCAGCTATA